TCTTCCTGTCTGTTTTTGTCAAAACATGGCAAATTGATGATTAATGACTGTTTGTGTGCTGGCTAGTCCGTCACACTCTCAGTTCTGCTTCACGGTACAGTTGCCTTGATTTAAAAAAAATAATAATAATAATTCAAAGTGCAACATAAGCTCTCAGAGATATGCGCTGTAAAATAAGTCCTATTTGAAGAGTATAACTCATTTGAGTGGTCACTTAATCAGTGTGCTGTAACACTGTCACATTGCAAAAGCCACATCAGATTTAGTTTTGGTACACTGAAAACAGATGTGCTCCAATTCGGAGCAGACACACAACTGCTCCGAGCTGGCTGGGCTTTGGTTTATGTGAGGCCGAGAGTGTCTGTTTGTGTGAGGCATTAAAAATGTTGTGAAAAAAATTACAGAGGAGAGGAGAAAGGAAAATGTTGGACTCATTTTTCAGTCGTTTGGGAACTTGGTGCACTATGTTTCGGTGCCTTTTTCTTCGGTCCTGGGGGGGAGGCTGCTCTCGTATTTTCCTCTGTGTACAGTATTCTTTTTAAACTCCCACATCTCGCACCATGACTCAATCCTGGCCTCCATTGTTTTTTTCCACTCGTCACGCAGTGTATCATCCGTTTCATTCTGTCTTCTATCTGTTCCTCAGATAACCCCGATGCCAGCAGGAGCTGAAAAGTCCTCTACCTCTGTCCACAACACTGATAGCATTTTCTAAAACAAGAGCCCCTCATGCATGCAGTCCATTAGGCCCCGACATACAAACAGACCTGCTTTGTTGAGGTGTTATATCAACAGTGTGACCTACCCCTCTCCTCCTCCCCGGCTTCCTTGGGCCCCCCAAAGGCAGGAGATTGATGTCAACAAGGAATTTTGTCCCACGTTTCCTTCTACCTCCTCCAGACCCACCCTGCTCCCAGAAAACACTTGCTCCTGCACAGAGGGCCCCAGTGAGGCCCGAACAGGTCCATTAACATTTCCCCACCACCACCCTCTTTTACCCAGAAACACCTTCAGCCACTAACGGGACCCTGTAAACAAGGCGCAGCCCCCAGAAAACAGCGCAGAGACAGGCAGCTATGTTTGTGTGTAGAGGCAATGAGCCACCTTGTTCCTTCAGCGCCACGGCTGCCCGGGAGGGGAGGGTCAGCAGAAATACGTCATAAGTGCATTGTGTCATCGCCAGAGGAGTTGCCAACAGAACTCAGACCGACTATGGGCTTGTTTTATGGGTGGTACTTGTCAAACTTTCACAAGAAGCAAGAATCTGCAATGCAGCTGCTGCCTCTGAAGTTTTGCAGAGCTGGAGGAGTGAGACGTCCGCGCTGAAGTCTCTGCAGAATCTTACAGATGGTGCGATCTAAATCCACGATTTGTTGCATTACTCTGTGGGCCAATCTAATAAAAAGCGGCTGAAAGCTATTCAGAAAGTGATTTTTAAAGTCTCAAGTCCCAGCATCAAGCACTCGACCAAGGGAACAACAACGGTCCCTTTAAATCGGGATCCTTTTCATTTAGTCATCCAAAAGGAATATTCTGTATATAATGGGAGCCAAATGCCTTCAGTCTGATTATGAAACCAATATCTGATTGAGTAAAATACACCAAAGACTGATTATTCAATCATTACACCTAGCCTTAATTAAATTCACTTTTGTTTACATAGCATTAAACCAAAACATGTTTCATCCCCAGGCACTGAAAACCAGAACTGTGCTATTCAAGCCAGTTCATTGTAATGCAATCATAATCCAATCAATTCCACTTATTCTATTCCAAGTGCATCCAATCCACAAAGAGCCAAGCTCACGAAACCAGCAGATTTTTGGAATGAAAAAAAAAAAAACGCCTCAGAGAACTGACTTTCTTTAAAGTTAAACGGCCATCTCCCAGCACAACGCAGCTGAATCAAGGGAGGCAAATCACCAACCGGGCTTCACCCATTCTTTTTTTTACCGGTTCTGGTAATGCAAACACGCTAACGTTCCAACGCAATCGGGTCCCCACGAGGATCCAATGAGGAGTCAGATGAAGACACAACAGTGTTGTAATAGACGTCTGCTTACACCATTTAAAAGCTGTAAAAGAATCAGCCCTGCTCTCAGCCGTTACTGCCCTTTGGTAAAGTGGCCTTCTCGGTGTCCTCATTGCGAGGTAGTTGTAAGAAGAGAGCGGCTCCTTAATAGGATAAAACAAAAAGGAGCTGCTTTTGTGTGCTCCTGTCTTGTAAAGACCTAAGAAACAAAAAAAAAAACACATAAAAAATGTTTTAATAAATTGGCTCCACTGAGCAAAATGGTCTAAAAGCAAAATGCAATGGCCCTAAACACAGGAGTCTGATGTGCCTGTCGTCTAACTTCTCTAATCCTCAGTTTGTGGCATTAGAAAAGGGTAAAGCATATGCTTTGCAGTCTAAAAAACTGTGGAAAGACAATGAGACAAAGAGACGAGGAAGATGATCTATTTCACAGCTGGTCTAAAATCTAGTTTCATGCAAAAAATAAATAAATAAATAAAATATTCATGACTCACTGAACATTAAGTTCCATCACTGTCGAGCTGTGAGTCAGATGACAAAGTCTTTACACGGCCACAGAAACAGTCATTTTGAGATACAGTTCAAACAAACAACCCAAAATGGCTAACCACTGACATCAGAAAGCACAGCCGAAAAGAAAAAGAAAAGGAGTTTTCTGGTGTCCAACGGGGATTCTATCTTTCTCTCTGCTCAGCGTTCACAATAACAGAATATTTTAAACGGGTCTTAATATTTTGGGGCTAAAGTGAATGTCTTCGCAGAAACTGAAACAGTGCCTTCAGCATACATTTACAGAGGTATGAACACATACATTATTGACAAATGCCAGCATTTCAGCTCACCTCAGGCCAAAAAAAATAAAATAATTCTCACAAATGCCTTTTTAAGCCTGGACTGATTCTGAGCATCACATGATGAGTGGAAGTACAGAGGAGGAGCAGGAGGCTGGAGGGGCCAACGCATCCTGCATAGATTGTGTCGACGGCCATCAGCCAGCGTGGTGGACCAAGCATCTCTAGCCTCTGGTGCTGACCCGCCCTCGATTGGCTCGTGTGAGTCAACAGTGGCGGGGTCAATGAGGACGTCTTTTTGCGGGGGTAAGGTGTAACCCACGGCAGAAAAAAGCTTTAGTCTCATGTGCCACCAGTGTTTGAAGAGACTGCAGTGAGCTGGGTACTTCCAGAGCCTGATGCAACCGAAAACGACAAATGACCCATCAATACCGTCCTGGAACCGTATTATCTGGGTCAACAAAAAGCCCAGTGTTTTTGGGCTAAGAGGACACCAAGTTGAACTATCAATGAGATTAAGGGATTTGAATTACCATAGAGATTTGTACTCAAGTGGATCCCGTCTATATTAACGACTTAAACTGATTTAACTTAATTCAGGCGGGGTAAAAACATTTTGCCTCTATGGCACTCCGTCTGAGTCATGGCAGAATGTGGTACCGAACACTCCTCTGTCATTACCCACCACAGTTTTCCCATCACTGAAGACTAAAAACACTAGGCTGGTGGTCTGGCCAACTAAATGCAGATGGCCCTCTCACCAGGAACCCATCAGTTATCCATCAGAAACATTAAATAGTCCAGCACACGGCGCATGTGTGTGTAAATGTTTGCGTGTGGGAGTCGGTGAGTGTGCAGGAGAGTGAAGTTCAAGGTTTTTCAGACATGAAGGAGCATTGCAAAGGGAATGCTAGCCATAACATCCTACAATAAGGGGCTCCCCCAGGGAGGGAATAAGAGCAGTTAGAGAAGGAGGAAGAGGGAGAACCCCAAAGAGGGAAAGAGGTGGGTCAACGTAGACAAACTGTATTATATCTCTGAGCAGAGAGGCCACATGGATTTTCAATTTTTGAACTGTTTTTTTTTCTCTTTCATTTTCATGCCAACAACAACAACAAAAGTCATAGTAAAAAGGAAAAAGTAGATGAGGAACAGAAAAAGAGCATGGAATCTCATTTTGATGAGGCTTCGGCAGATTTTCCAAATTCATTCCCATCCACTTCAAACTCTGAACACTTCAATTTCAAAATTGAATTGTGGTCAAATGAAGATTCCTTCACAAAAGACAATTGAGTTTTGAGATTAGTATCCTGCAAACCTTCTGATCCCTCAGACTGAAACCCCTTTAGCTACCCTGAGGCTTAAGACCAACTTTTGTGTCTACAGATTCAGATCAGAAGCTGCCAGAATCCTCCTCTAAATCTAGCCCCTTTCTCCTGGGGAAGGACGTTTCATTTGGGGAGCTTGGCGCAAAATTGTGCATAAAATAACGGTGAATCAGAGGTATTTCAAGTTGCATTTTATTATGGACTCCTTTAAAATGACTTTCTGCCTTTTGAGCTGCCACCCAACCCGCACGGTATTGTGGCCCCAGTTCTAATCTCTGAGGGGAGAGCTACACATGGAAGTAGGTCTGCACTCTTTCTTCAGGGGGGTAAGCCTTATCTTACTCCTATTTGTAGAGGCCAATCACAAAGGACTTGTCCAAAAGATCTTTTTCAAGGCCTGACTGCTGGAGTCTGCACTGGCTTTCCTGTTCCAGATGAGGTTTTACCCTCAAATAATATACTCTTTTGATGGCTCTCATTATGGGTCCTCACCGGGGGCCTTGGAAGCCTGGACCAGGTTTGCCTCCAACGATGATGATCCTATGCTGGCCGGGACTTGCGATCACAGTCCCAGTAGCATCACTCAAAAACAAACTTTTTCATGAGAGCAAAACTCTTTATCGGGTTTTTCCATTGCACACTGGGGCTTGTGTAACAACTTTTCTTTGGCGTGACACTGAAAAAGTGCATTCACGTGTGCAGATGTTCGAAAACTAACACGTCAGAAAGGGTCGCCGTGGGCTCCAAAACCCAACCTTAATCTGTGATTAAGGTCTGGGTGAAAGATAAAAACCAAAGGCTGCTGTGTAACAACGGATGAGGCTGAAAAGGTTGCTGTTGTTTTACCTGGTTCGTAGTCCTTGCGGCCGGCTTGTCCTGGTGGTTGGCGAGGATGAGGAAGGGCAGGGTGCAGAGCTGTGGGTGCTGCAGAGCCGAGTGCAGCTCATTGCGCGCCGCTTCGAGGTCCTCATCCGACGAGGCGCTATCCAGAACGAAGACTACGCCCTGCGAGCCCTGGTAGTACCGACTCCAGTATTTTTTGATGTTGTCGGCTCCTGTGGACAGACGTGATGCTGTTAGATACCACCACAACTGACTGAAATTGCCCTAAATTCAACTTCTGCTGTCGTGGGAAAAACTTCCCAACAAGAGAAAGGCCAGCAGCCTCTGCCATCGTTTCAAAATAAATGTTACACTCATAAAACTCATTTAATTTGTTCACAATAAATCTGAGCAGCGAATAGATCACAGCACCTCAGAAAGTCCAGAAACAATATTCCACTCTGGCGCAGAAAATCGTAAATCTGGAATAAGCCCCAGAAGAAATATGGTTTTATTTCTCAACGTATCTTCACTAGGAAAATTTGGATTCTAAGGATGCATCTTTGTTATTCACAGCAGTTTTCTCAGTCCCACCAAAGTGTCATTGAGCCTAATATATTCAATTTGGATTCTTGTTATTTTCATAATTCAGTTCACAAGTTCACAAATGATTTATTTATTTTAAAAAGAGCTCAACTTTGCCCACTGTGTCAAATATTTCACATTGATTTTTTAAAAATGTGACGGATCACAATTAATTCATTACAAAGTCTGTAAATGATTAAAATTGCTTTTGTTTTAACATGTCCCGCTTCAACCTTTTTAAATGACAGAGTTCACCTTCGGACATAAGATGGAACAATTCATTGCTACAATTCCAACTCATTCATTCATTAAGGCTAACCACTAGGGATGCCTCTGATTGGTTCCAAATTCATTCCCAAACAAACAGTGTTATATTGAACTATGTCCGGAAACAAGGACAAGATGTCCTGCAACAGATGGCGTAGCCCCCACCTGGCCCTGATCTCAACATCAATGAGTCAATCTGGGATTATAAGAAAAGACACCAGCAACCTAGACAGCCTAAATCCACAGAAGAACTGCGACAAGTCCTCCAAGATCAGATCAAGAACAACCCTCCCACCACATACAGAACTTGAGAGAGGATTTCTTTATACAGTCAAAATTTTCCTTTCTTTAGCCTCCTATTGACAGTTAGCTTCATGCATGTCAGCGGACAGCAAGGAAAAAACAGATTTGTCCCATCTTTAGAGCCAGTGCCAATTGTCTAGTGATGGACTCAAGAGCAGAAACGACAAAAGAAATCGGTAGAATAACATTTTATCAGTAGTCTCGAGCAGTCCAACCTTAAATTATTATTATCATATTTCATTTGCTTTGCTAAGAACTGTGAGGGGACCTTTAAGCTTTAGCTTTGTGCTCTAGAGTCCTGAAAGCAGGTGCTGAGGGGGGGACGTTTTACTATCGATAAAGTGAGAAAAAGTATGACATCATAGTGCTTTTTAAAGTCTCTCTTCAGGTTTTAATACCACTAATAATTCCTCATTTTTGTCTCTTATAAATTAAATTTTTTACATGTAAAGTTTTTTTTTTTTTTTGCCAGAAAACAACTATGAAATATAACAGAACCATTGTTTGGTTTAGTTTTTTCTGGACTGAGGAGGAGTTTTTCTGACGGTCACACGCCTGCAGATCTCTCTCATACGTGTAGACAGCTGCTTGAAAGAGAGTTCCACTTTAAACGGAGGGTGAGGGTTTCCGCTTTGGCACATTCACATGAGTTGGGAGTCTTTTATTAATTTACTGTTGAAGGGCACCTACCCAGAATTTACCCAGTTTAGAGCAGGGGTGCCAAAAGTTGATCTTTGAGGGTCGCTGCCCTGCAGGTTTTTTAAGTTTCCCCACACATGATTCCCATCCTGGTGCCATTAGCATGCTTGTGTAGAGTTTTTTTTAACTGAATCAGGTTTGGTGAAGCAGGGAAAACTACTTAAACCTGCAGGGAAGCGACCCTGGAGGACAGGAGTGGGGCACTTCGAATGAACTTAACATTTACTTTTGGGCGGTGGGAGGATGGCGGAGCACCTGGAGAGCATCTCCAGGATGGCCATCATGGGATGGCTCACAGAGTCGACAGACGCGGCTCATCAGCTGGCCACGACCAACAACACAAAGGCACCCCCCCTCCAGTTGGTTTCTTCACAACAAAAACAGTGTGCAGTCTTGGGTTTTCTGCTATTCCTCTGGAGTTGAAGCTGAACTTCTGCTCTACATGAGGTGAATGGAACCAAACCAAAAAAGACAGCCGAGAGCAATAAACAACGGCGTTGTCTAACCTCTCCTCGGTTCGCTGCGCACTCCGCTCGCTTTCCCACTATAAATTAAACACACTGGTAAAATTGCCAGGGACGTTCACTTATTCGGTCGGCAGGTGAGCCTCCCCTGCTCTCCAAACTGGAGTAGCGAGCGTGGGCGCGCCTGGGTGTCGGTCCTGTTGGACTCAGTGTCTGCCTGTGATGGACCGGTCACCCCTCCAGCTCATGCCCTGCATCTCACAGAATGCCGTAAAGGCTCCTCTTTTTTTTTGGGATAAGTGATTAAAACCAGCTTGATGCTGTTGAAAAATTAAAACAAAGTACTGTTTGGTATAACTACAATTTCCCCTTTCATTTTATTTAGTTTTTTAGTTCCCAAATATGAGGTGTTGGCTTGAAAACAAAACTAATTTTTTAAAAGTTTTTCTGCCTCCTCAGCTGAATGTTTTGGCTCTCTCAACATGTTTTCCATCGACTAGTTTGAAAATGTTTGCTGTTCGTGTTTGCTAAACCTGTCATCGCTCTGAACAATTACACAGTGTCCTATCACGTTTCTCGTTCACTTCCAGAGGATGTGCCATATCTGGGTAGAACTATCCTCCTCCGTCTGATGAGGTTGCTTCCTCTGCGATCCTGGGAAGCGTTGTTATTGTTGCTCATGGTATTGTACAATTGCCCAGAAGTGACAAACTGTGAGGTTGGCAAATGCTTAAACATCACGCCGAGCTCTCGGTGACATTTTGCCTCCCTCCCTCGTACTCTCCCTCCCTTCCTCCCCCAGTCGATCTACTCACACCTCTCACTGGAGTGAAAAGCTATCAGACAAAGTGGCACTTGAGAGATTGTCTAGGAAGTTTCATCTTTGCTTGGAAATGGTGGAATGTCTGTCATGTCTCTTTGAATCCCGTTGGCGACTCCTGCCACCTATTGGTCTAACAAGGAGGGTTTCTAAACATGATGTCATGGCTCCTGTAGTGTGATTCTACCCATCATTAATCAAAGAAGTAAATCTAAAAACGACTTCTCGTCCTTCGGTTGATTTCTCCTTCATTCTCCCTCTTTATGTTCAACTTTTTAATGTGAAGCTTTGGTTTATATCCTCTAAATTTAGTTTAAAAATCATGAATATATATATTTATTTCACATTTCTCGATTACACCAGGACGTATCCAGTCGTTTCTCCTAGTAAATAAAGCGCCAACCCATGAAATTAACATCTCACTTTGTCTTTCATTGGGAACACAAATCTGGTCAACATGAATGAAATAGTGATGAGTTTTATCGTGATAAATTGGCCGAGATGTGAACTACTATGAGGAAATAACAAGAAATGTAAGAAATATTAGCTCCTTGCAAACAGCTCAACAGAAAGGATTACAATCAAATCTTCTGGTATGTTTATACTTCTCAAAGTACTTCTCAAAAGCCTTTTCGCTTGTCTGGACTTGATACATTAAGCTGTAAAGCTGCAGAAGGTAAGCACAGGGAGAAACAATGAAAGCTATCATGTTAGTAATGGAACCAGAGCAACAATTTTCAGGCCGGACAAAATATCGTAAAACATATGTTGTGCCTGTATTACATAACTATCTCGTGAGGCTGCCTTTTGCCAAAGAAATTAGTATCTCTTACATCTTTATGATGGATTTAATTCCTTGGCGAGTCGTAAAAGATTTATCCACAGTGACGTGTCGGTTGCAGGATTATTTTCCACATTGTCCTGTCACCTGTGTTTGTGCAGTTATTGCTTTATCACCACACACCACTGCAGCTCTTCATCCAGACTGAACTCATTCCAGCCATGACTCGTTACAGCCATTATTTAGTATGTTTGTAACCACAACAAAAAAACAAACACTTAACCCATACAGAAATAAACACAGTGCAACTACTGTTGTGTCACTTAATACGCTATATGTGCGACTAAGTTCTTTTTTAAAAGTTCCTGTTGAGTTTAGAGCTTTGTTGTGAGTCTGTTTTAATAGTTTTAGGACAGAAATTTGACGCAGGCTAAATTGCTAAAGCCAACCGTGCTCCATCTAAGCCATTAAAAAATCATAAAGACAGCAGTCTCTGCAGGGATGATGCTGACGTTAGGCCTGTTAATACTTAACGAATGTCTCCTGGACATTACGATCTGTGTGTGAATGATTTAATTCTGAGAAGATCTGTAGACGGCTTTGTGAGACAGAAAGGTTAACCTTGGACTATTGACATTAATAAGTGTCCATATTTCATATAATTGTTTTTTCAGAGGCGTTAGCAACAACACTGCTTTTACCAGCTTAAAAAACAAGCCAAAAGAATTATAATAATACACAAACAATTAAACAAACATTTCAAATTGAACATCATTAGCAAATAATTGCTACATATAATAGATAGTTAAATTTTTTTATTTTTTAGGCTCTTGGAATGGGTGTCAGGAAATGACTATTTTTCACTTTTTGCAGACCAGATCATTCCAAAAAATGTCATCTGCTTTATAAACTGCTGCATTTTTAGCTGACTTATGTCAAGTGTGCTCTAAGTTTGTGTGACATCTATTTATTTTGGAGCTGTGTGTGACAAACTGTGGAAATTTCTAACAATTCTCTTTTGGGAATGTGACTTTTGGATTTTCTTTTTTTTTGGAGGACTTCACAGCACTTCACCCTCCCCCACAACCCCAAAAAAAGAATCGGGACACCCTAAAACTTAGTGTGAACATGCAAAGCTCAGAGACAGAGCTGAGCTGTGAGGGCTGGAATGGGACTGCACCAAAAAAAGATAAAGGAACAGAAGTGCCAACGGTTCAGGGAAGAGGAGGGAGAGGGAGAAGCAGACATCTGTTGGCTATACAAACACAAGTGGTTTCAGTGATCAGGTTACTGATTGTGTGCGTGTGATTAAAAGTTAATGAACCCAACTTGTCAAATGTCGGTAAAACGTAAGTCAGCAATAATACAGAAGACATTAAAAACCGATTGCTCTCCTTTAATTTGTTTTTTGTTTTTTCAGCCAGAGTGTGATGGTTATGTTCCAGAATCTGTGAACAAAACTCAAACTGAATGTGATGGTCTACATATCAGGCAAGTGGAAAACCCCCCACTCTTTTTGGTTCTAAACGAGTTTATGAGGCTCGGATTGTTTGGTTATTGACAGGTATCAGCTTTTGGTTTCCCAGCGAGATTAAACTATGCTTTCTTCCAACTTTAATGCCCCCCCACTGTTCGCATCTCATCGGACAAACATGCTGCTTGTAGTTTCTTTTTCTTCAAAGTGGAAATCTAAACACTGAGAGCAACTCTTTGAACCGAGCCTAACAGAAAACAGACACGGCGCTTTCTTTTCTCCGACGGAACGGCAACGAGTCGGAGTCGGGAGAGAGGCCGCTCTCCTGGCTGAGGGCTGCCAGGGCCTGGAGAACGGTGGAAAGCGCCTCAGCTGGAGACGCAACCTGCTTTCTCAGCAAGGCCTGGTTTCGAGTTAACTGCTGCAGGATGTTCGGCTCAAAACATACATCAATCAGTCTCGTTTATGCGTAAAAACGGGGACAGTTGTTTACGCCCGGGCAGCTTCGCGGATAACTCGAAACAAATACGTTTTGTTACTGTATGTACACAGTTTGGATGGGTAATTGCTGCTTGCCATTCAGACCCCCGTCCGCACACTCTGAGGCTTTTTCGCCATGTGCCACTGTGACCGGCACAGCTGGCAACAGTTAAATTATTTGACTGGCCGCAACTGTAATGATTAATAACCACATTCTTGGTATTTATATTACACTTTACCAAAACCATCTTAAACAAATGCCCGGCCGGCCTCGTATGCACACAAGTATCACATGCACACACAAACACCTTGACAAAAAGAAAAGAAAAGGGTCACCGCTTATGGATGTTTCAGGAATTCAACACCTAGTTTAACTAATGCCCCCTTCAAAAGATGCGATATTTGATCTCACAGAATCAATCTTCCACCGTTCAGACTATACAAAAGAACATCCTTAATTAAAGCCTCCAACTCAGATCAGTTGTGCGGATATCCTCACAAGGGCTCAGAGCAGTGACCGCCACCGTCTTCTTTAATCTAAAATATCCTGTATACAAATGATTTGGCTGCCGGTGAAGCCTTTCAGCCGGGGGATATCCGATAGGACTAAAATCACCGTCTGATCAGCACCAACTGCTCCGAGTTGGATTTGTTTAAAGATGAGCTTACATCCTTCTTTTGCCGGTCCGTTTCAGACAGCTGATAAATGTCCCGCCATGGTAATGCCTCTGGTCCACGTCCCGTGCCCTTTGAGGCTCATGTTGCAACAGCAATGTGGAAGATTCTATCATCTTCAAGCGCTTCACGCACATGTCCTGCATGTGTCATCAATATACGGTCAGACAGACACTCCACTGTTTTTAAAATCACTCTTTACAAAAAGAACTGGCAAAGAATTGGGATTTTCTTCTTTTTTGCATTTTATTTCTGGTAATAACAAACAGAATCAAAAGCCCTTTTTACATATAAGTTGAAAGACATGTTTTGGTCATACCACTGCTGTTTCTCTTTAGTCATTTTGGAGCGGGGGATTTTCACTGTATCAGAGAGCGCAATTATAACGTTTCATTTTACGTCAGTTTGAATATATTTGTTTAGAATAAACTCCTTTTATTTCCTGTTTAACATAAAAGGCCCTTGTGTCCTGTCACGCAATCGAAAACTATGATGCACCACCAAAAAAGCAAAGACTCAGTATGGAGGACATCGCCGTGGCGACGCACCTGCTGAAC